TGGAACCTCCCAAGCCTATTTTGCAGCCCTAGCACTTTTTGGTTTTGACGAAGGACTGAATAGTACATTCGAACAGTTTGCTCGAATATCCTGCCTGGCAAGATCCAACGCCCTTGATGCGATGCATATTCCCTAGGAGGGAGTTAAATCTTGCCTTCAGCAACTGCCGCTGTTCGGAGAAGATGTCTTTGCCGGCAAGTTTGCGGACATGCTGGAGGCGGAGGCTAAGTGGATCAATGCGGCCAAGAAAAAATCGTTCTGCAAGCCACTGTCTGTGACTCCGCAGTGAACTCGGCAACGTAATGCCAGCTAAGTCAGGCCCACTTCTAGCCAGACTTTTTCGATTTGTCGCCCTTTTTGCCGGCCTCTTCAATGATCAAGCCAATGCCAGGCCTTATCCCGCGTCATTCCCAAGGCGAGTCAAACCTTCCCGCCGTGGGAATTCATCAGTGACCGCCGTTTCCGAACCCGTCGGTGGCACCCTTCAACTGTTCACAGGGTTCTGGAAAAACATCACCTTGGACAGCTGGGTCCTCTCAACTCTTGCCCATGGATATTCTCTCGAGTTTACAAGCACCCCGCCGTCCGAGGCGATACTATGTCCAACTCCTGTTCCCACAACAAGGACCAATGCGTGGCGCTGGAGTCGGAGATAAATTCCCTTCTTCAAAAACGGGCTATTGTTCATGTTCAACCTGACCACTTGGGAGTGGGGTTCGTTTCAACATTTTTTCTCACACCCAAGAAGGGAACAGACAACTGGCATCCTGTCAACAACCTGAAGTCATTGAACAAATTAATACGTCCAAAGAAGTTTCGTATGGAAACTATCTTGACAGTGGTATGCTCCCTACCGGTTCCGTCCTGGGCCTCGTCTATCGATCTTCGCGATGCTTATCTACACATACCCATTCACGATCGGGACCGCAAGTTCCTCCGATTCATATACAAAGGGAGAGCTTACGTATTCTGGGCCCTGCCATTCGGCCTATCAACTTCACCCAGGGTCTTCACATGAATTGCTAAGACCGTTGCAGCTTATCTGTGCCAACTAGGTGTTTTAATTTTCCAGTACTTAGACGACTGGTTGATCAGGGGCAGATCTTGAGACGAAACCATGGCCGCAACCCGTTTCACCTGCGACATCACTTCCCGTCTCGGTTTTCTCATCAACCACGAAAAGTCAAACTTGACGCCATCCCAGCTCCCGACATATCTAGGGCGGTACTCGACCTCCGCAGGGGTGTAATGACACCGACGATCGACTGAATAATCAATCTTCAAAACTGCATTTCCTTTTTCCGGTCGTTGCGGTCGCCAACCGCCCTCACTTGGCTTCGTCTTCTCGGTCTAATGGCCAGTATGGTGGACCTTATACCTTGGTGCAGACTCCGAATGAGACCACTACAAATTCATCTGCTCTCCTACTACCAGCCCAAGGTACGTTGTAAATCCCATCGATTTGCCAGATCATGTCTCAGACGATGTCCGTCAACATCTACTATGGTGGCTGGAAAAGGACCACTTACTTGCCAAACTCCCCTTTCAGCAAACCAAACCAGATGCAGTCATTTCAACCGACGTATCATTTTTCGGATGGGAGGCACCCCTCCACATCAAGTGTCGGGGACCTGGAGCACCGAGTTTCGAACAAACCACATCAATGTTTTGGAAATTCAGGCTTTCTTCAATGCCCTACGTCATTTCCTCTTACATATAAAGGCAAAACATGTTCTGATCCGCTTAGACAATTCCACGGTAGTAGCGTACATAAATCACCAAGGCGGCACACACTCTCCCTGACTGTGCGTCTTGACATTGGAAATTTTCTGCTGGGCTATGGATCGCCCAATCAACGTGCAAGTGATCCACACTGCAGGGCTGGACAATTCCATAGCAACCGCTCTGTCTCACAGCACAATTCACCCAACGGAATGGACCCTTCATGCCAACATAGTCAAATCCCTGTTCTTGGCGATAGAGAGACCACACGTCGATCTCTTTGCATCAGCGGACAATGCTCAGCGCCCGGTGTTTTGCGCCAGAAAGCCTCACCCTTGAGCGTGGGCCACAGATGCCCTACAGATCGATTGGACCGGCCTACCCGCGTACGCCTTTCCTCCCAACTCTCTGATTCCACGGGTCATATCCAAGATAGAACGCGAACATTGTCGGATTCTACTCATTGCCCCTTTCTGGCCGCGTCAGCCTTGGTTCCCCAGGCTAATGAGGCTCCTGGTTCACCGGCCCTTCATCCTTCCGGAGAGGCCAGACATCCTTCAACAGCTGAAGTCAGGACTTCCTCATCCAGCACCAGAAAGTCTTCACTTAACGTGCTGGACACTGTCCTACAATCCCTCTGCTCGGCAGGATTTTCTCACGACGCTGCGGCCATGGCCGCACGAGGAAGAGGCCCTTCAACCCATGAGGTGTACGACAGCTGAATACGACACATTACTACGTGGTGCGATGAACATGCTGTGGCTCCAACCAGCGCTCCTTTAAATACTGTCGCTGAATTTTTCATGAACCTTCTTCAACGTGGGCTTACAAGTCTCCACGATCCGCAACTATAGATTGGCCTTAGCCAACCCTTTAAACAGAAAAATTGTTTGGTAGCCATTGGATCCTAATGGGGAAAGGTTTAGTAATCACGTGTGCTGAATACTTATGACATACGTACACTTGTAGTATAAATACCCTGTGTTTACGTCGTCCATCCATGCCGTAGAATCATGACCCGTCCGGTGGGGCAAGGCACATACGCGTACATGTACACCATACAACTTGCATGTTCATGTACGTACATGTATACATGAGCGCCGATGAGGTCAATACACAAAATCAGGGTTCTCGCCAAGGGATTTATCCACGGGCGTTATGATGTCTGTAGTTTCAGCGTGTCACAGGACACCCTGCTGCATGAATTGTGCTATTTCTGACACTCTAAATCACAGCGACACCCTTTTATTCCACCATGAGCTCTGTTTCAGGCTTCATTTACATTGTACGTTGCAGCAAAAAAGTAGCAAAAATGGAGCCCATGCCGTGGTTAGTCAAATGGCCCTGGTGTCCGTATACAGTACACCAACAATGTATGTTTTGATCGGGAACCAACACGTGCGTGTGATCGCGACACGTGTACTTTACAGCGCACACGCACGCATAAGCTTCCAATTTACGATGCCATTTCTACATTTCCGGAACAAATTTTGAGTACATAATCATTGCTTTTTTTATTTTTAAGCATACTCAAAATTGTTCAAGTACTTTTTTGTATGAAGGTTTTAAGCTATCTTAAGTCGCAAATGGCGACTGTATGGTGAAAATCTGATCGCAAGTGCAAAAATTGGTCGCATTTGTGACTGATTTAGGTGCTATTTAAAGCGTTGGCCTTGGCCGCTATACATTCTGGCTTTATAGACAGCTGCTCTATATCCAATAACACCATCCCTCATTATCTCCTGCGTGGTATGTTTATTGAGCACCCTTGCATGAAACGCTTAGTCATGTCATGGGATCTGAGCAAAGTTCTAAGGATGATCACAGGTGCGCCCTTCGAACCTTTAAGTAATGCCAC